TTATTTGTATTTTCCTCCAAGTCCAAACTTTTTCTGAATTAGGATGGCAAAGAGTCCAACTTTTTTGCAGCAGTGCCTCACAGATCAAGATCACGACTACCTCGATGTTTGTGTTTATGTTGTTAATGATGGAAAACGGCATGTAGGCATGTAAAGTGAAGCCATACCGACTTTTAGACTGCAAACAAATGTTCTTTACAAAAATAGATGGCTAGTCTAATCTGAGAAAAATATATTGTTTAATATGAGACAAAAAAAAATAAATAAATAAACTACAACTAAACTAAAAAATTAAAGTCATCTAAACTGAACCATTTTCTTGACAACTATAAGTTGTATTAAATGGTTGGGTCTCATTATTAACATATTTGATCAGCATAGACCTTAAAAGCTCTCTACTGACTACATCCCTCTTCATGGACTGAGTGAAGTGCCATCACTTTGAAGAGCACCACAGTTATTGAAGAAGTTACACCATCAGCTGTCCTCTAATTAAAAGCAGAAACAATGATTGCTCTCCAAAGAACACATTTTCAGACAAACTCTTAACACCCCCGCCACCACCACCGCTCTCTGGTACACATAAGCATACACACTACACACACACACACCAATATAATTTAGTTTAATAAAAATTGCTAAGCCTGTAACCAATCATAAAAGCATTCGCTTTCTAGTGGAGTTATTATCAAACCAAAAGAAAGAATCTTTTCCGGGCCTGTCATCTATCAATTCCGTGACAAAGCACTCTTCAAAGCACAAGGCTAATACATTTGGTGCATGACAATAAAGCTTTTCCCAAAACCTATAGAGTGCTTTGAGTAAGTGGCAGCCAAGGACTTAAAAGTGTTTCTTTGACAAACCACTTAGTTTTCTGACTTTGGAGAAGGAATAATGATCCCTTCTGAGAGGGAGATGGAGATGTGTGGATTAAAAATAGGCCTATGTGATTTTCAAACTAGTTCTAATAACCTGCATAAACTGAAATAAATCAAAGAAGCAATCACACTTCTCAAACACTTGACCACAGTTACAGAGTCTTTCATCATTCGTTTTCCCCAGGGTGACTGACACTGCATGTAATTCCTCTCTTAAGCTAATTGTTACTTCTGTTAGAAAGACAGACCTATTTTAATTTAAAAGAACATCGCCATTCATAGGTAAATTTGCTGTGTGCACTGACCAACATATGATCCATGAGCAAAGTAGATTCATTTTCGAATACTGACAAATCCTAATGAAAGAAACTCCTGTATAAATAGCGAGCTTGTTCCTATAAACCATAATATGGCTCTAGCACTGTCAAACATAAAAAACACTGTCTAAACACCTTGTTTCATTTGTCCTTTTACACATTGCAGCTACACAGAAAGTGCTACTTTGTACTCTCATGACTGATTAGTTTGCACTGTTCAAACAACTGTTTTGGAGACCTGTCTTTGATCAAAGCTTAGAAAGACTTAAGACACAATCACATTAGAACACAAGCGCACGTCTATAACCAGAACATTGTGCTGAAATCCCCAGATGGGAATGGGGAGCAATTCTATCCCCATCCCAGTGCCAATTAAAAAATGCATTGACTTTCAATTCTTCAGAAACCACAAGCCATTTCTTTAGTCCACCTCAGACTATTTCATCTAAGTGTATAGATGTCATTTCATTTTAGAGGTCAAGCGAGAGTTTGACCCTCCTTCTTTGTGACAGCCAGCAATCTGGGGATGAATGTGGGCAGTGTTTACCTTGTAGATGAAGCTTGCTCTCAGGGCTCTGTAGAAGGATTGAGCTAACTGAGTCCAGATTGTCATAGCTACTGCATCCCAGCGGGCCCGTCCGTGTCTCTGTCACCTGCAAGAGAATTAGGACTCAAATGAAAAACACATATCAGATTCACTTTCTGTACTTGTGTGCGTGCGGGCATGCAAACGTCTGCGTGCCCGTTGTGTTTAAGTATTACTACACTATTACACGACTACATATCTTTGTTTCATCTATTGTGCTTTCACTGTACTCTGCTCGATGTAGTATTCCTCATTTAAAAGCAGCCATCACACAACAAACTACCTTGTACAGACTGTACAGCATTCACACTATTGTTATTACACCAAAAGGGAAATAATGTATTGATAACTAACTGACTTATTTTTCCACAAGGCTGATGTTCCACAAGGCTGGGGGGGATTAAGCTTTTTTGCAGGAGGAACATTTTTGAACTATGGGATTGTTCTGTTCCAAACAACAAAACAATAAAAATCTTTATCTATGACAAAAAAAAAAGAGAGGACGCAACAAAAATAAAACAATGTAAGCATAACAGAAAGTATTGAAATCAGAAATCTGTCCAGGCTTAGTTAAACCTGTGTCAAGGATTTTGAAAGAATCTTTTTATCTCAGAGGCATAACAAATAAATCAATAAATCTAAAGAAATTAAAACAAAGCAACAAAATTTGCAAACAATGATCCACATGTTGCAAGTCCTCAAATTAGTCTTTTTTATACATTCCAATATCTGAAATGATTGAAGGGCTTCTGAAACTACCCATTTAAGCAAAAAGATCCCTGAAATTTCTGACATAAAAGACTGTTTCCAGTTTTAAATAGTGCAATAATATTTGTTAGGAGGTATGTGGGGTAGAGGAGGTGCAGACAAACCTGCCTTTGAACAGTGAAAAATGTTTGGATTGAGAATATATCACGGTTTGGATTGAAATGCAACTTTTTAGAATATTTTACATATTGTATCAATGCTTCATTTTTAGATTTGGTTTGAGATTATGCCAATTTAAAACCCATAGGATGGATAATTAAAGTTTTGTGCCCTTACAAGATTATATATTGCAAACAAAAATGATTTAAAATTGAACTCATTAAAATGTGTGAAAAACAAGTTTGAGTGAGTTTTTGTATCCACAGAGGGCTTTAGACAGGCTGGGGAGGCTGAGGGAACGTTGAAGACAGAACACAGAGACAAAGGCTACGAGATGACATGACATGACAACAAGACTGACATCTACAGGACACACTGAGGACAAAACACAGGGAAAGGGAAACACCAAAGGGAACTAAACCAAAACCACAGAGATAAACGCAATAATCAGAAAACTCATAAGTGCAAAAAAACTAAACGAGGAAACACAAGACACTCACACAATAATGATTAAACAAGATTCAAAACACTGGGTCAAGACGCAGAACCATGACATTCATATCTGTTGTGAGATGAATTTTCACCACAGACAGCTTCAGTAACTTATATTCCACATTTGTGTGTGTGTGTGTGTGATTGACAGTGTGATATCATTTTTTCCTGTCTTTAATTTTGATACCATACCAGATGGTGGGCTGACAAGCACGAAATTAGACAGATGTAAATCTACCCCTGGCATCAGGCGGCAAAATCAGAAGACAGACAGGGACAGACTGGAGGAGAACTATATAATCTTCATATTCAATCAATATGCTCTTGAATAAATCTTGCTATATTAGGGCACATGCTAGAGATGCAATAGCGTTTTGTTTTTGTTTTGTTTGTTCTTCATATTTGACAATAACACTGACATTCTTTATCTGTAGATTACGGTATGCCACTGTTGCATATTATTTGTTAAAGATATACAACATTTTAATTAAATGAATGGAGTGTGAAAGAAACATACAGAGATTGGAGATATATTTAAAAATGTCGCGCTAGCATTCTGGTATTGCTACCACCAAATGTTTTACTGGTCTTTTCCTTTAAGATACAAATGGGAAAAAGTGGTTGATCCACTGAAACTTTACTATTTTAAATTAAAACGCATACAGTACCTGCTGTTTACAGCACTGTAAGTAACTGAACTCCTGCTTTGCAGATTAGAAATTCACATTTTACTGTCTTCATAATATAAGGGCTTATTCCAGTTTAATTTTAATCACATTCAAAGAAATTTCCTTTCAACAAAGGTTAGCATGCATGACTTTTAAGAAATACTAATGAGGTAATAATGATCACCTCCTTGCAGTTTTTAGCCACAATTCATTAGTTCGGTTAAAAGAAATGAAGAATTGAATGGCAAAGGTTTTGAAGTTTTGAGGTGCTGAGGTGAACTTGACTAATGTGTGCATCTGAACTGATAACAGAACGACGCAGTCACACTGTGCCATTCACACTTTTGCTAACCCAGCTCTTTTCCTCCCTTTTTTTGTTGCTCTTATTGTGAAATGAATGACCTCCTTCAAAAGGTTGTATTCCACAACCCAGGGTGACTGAACAAAGGTGGATATCTGTCCCCTGTCACTTCGGGACATCTCCCATGTGACAAAATAGGTGATTTCATGGGCAAGCTAAGGGATATTTAGATCTGTACTTTTACACAAATTGTGTGCATATATATGAACACTTGCTTCTTGCCATTTTTCTTCACAGCCAGTTTTCTATAGAGTTATTTGCTCCAAGAATTATGGTTCCAAATTAAGAGCACACCCGGCTTTAAGGATTAGAGACTGACCCTTGTAATCTGGATGACCTTAGGAGAGCGTAGTGCATTACTTGTTAGGCTCTGTCTTTTCATTTTCTCCACCACACACCATAAGAATGCTATGCACCAGATTATGAAAATGGAGTGTAACGTAATAAAAATACAAGGAGCAATCAAAGGACTGAAGTGGGCCAAGGGGGACTTAGAGGATTTGGATTATTAAGCAGAACACAACAGTGGAATCCCACTGGGCCCAGACTGTATAACAGTCCACAGACAGAAACCATAGTTCTGGAACAACTATCTAATTGTCATCTGTCACGAAGAAAATCATCTAACCAAGTAAATAAGAGATGATGCACAAGAGATCTAAAGTTGCAGGTTCTGTTGGTGACTTAATGCACATATATTATTCCATGAGCCCCATTTATTTAAAAAAAAAAAAAAACTACGTTTTTCCTGTGCAAAGTTCTCTGTATTCAAAATGCAAAATATAGCTTCATGATATACATGCCAGGCAGCTGCAGTACATCAGGTGCATGTAGAAGTATGTGTGGGTACTTGTGGGTAACGTGTGTTTGCATACAGTGTGTCTGTGCATTCAGACTCAATCATGTTGCTTGTTTCTTGGGAACCAGTTGCATATGTAATGATCAGTGGCTAAGTAGCTACCCCATGAAACATTTTGACCACAAGCACATCTGAAAATTTTGATTTGCATGTTTACATCTCAAGCTATGTATTTATAGTCTGTCATCTTTCTCACTTTATTTGATTTGAATTGGCCTAGTTAACTTGCTTTAATTGGGTATCTGCCTTTCCAGCACACAGGCCCTTTCACTTCACATCTATAGCTGACCTTTCTAATGCACCTGCCTTTCATTAAGCGCCAATTGGAATTTCTTTAATACAAAGAGGAACATTTGGCAGTTAACATCATAGGTAAAGGTCATTTCGTGAAAACTGTGCAATGGAAAAAAAGAATCTCATATAAAATTATTATACAAAATAGACTCTAAAGCACTGTGAATTATAAGGGATAAAACACAGAAAAGGTAGCTGTAAAACTGCTATTATGTGAGCTTTGCTCATACTTTGTGCACACATGTATCAAAAGGTAAATGCATCCATGAGTTTAGGCCAGTGTATACCTATCTTTTTATTAATACATCTCTCCAGATGTATCATAATACAGTCCCCTTATGCCTTGTATTAGATAACTTTGTCATTTGTCACCTAGCAAATCTCCCTATCTCTACATATGATTCACTGTGTATCGACTGCTTCAGCGTGCAATAAAAACACTTTTTGTCAGGTTCATTAAAATCACACAGCATAGGAAGCTGTCATTATTTCTACAATTCCTTGAAGTTGTCATGGGAGTAGTATGATCTTACTTCTATACTGCTATACTGAAAAGGATGTTTCTCTGAAACCAAACCACACATTATTCTAGTCTCCGTTGCAAGAAAGAACAAGGAGAAATAAAAGGTGGTTTGAAGCTATGTGAGATAAGGAAAACAATGTATGAGGCAATAAGATGGGTGAGTGGGACAGGGAAGATTACTGTAAGGTTCAACTGTCTTCATTACACGTCTCTTCTGCTGCACCATCCTAATCTGCCCATCACATGCCATTTTCTTAATGACTTGCTATTTATGGCTACATAGAAAAGAAGAGACGTGCTCCTCTGTAATTCTTCACCCTGGTAGTGAAAACTCTCTCAGGACACTTTTCTGCCTTCTTCATATCATTTTTCGTGTGGCTAGAGTGTTCCTCTAAGTCACACTGGAGGCACGGAGCAACCACATTTTTTTTCTCTAGTAGCACATTTCCCTTGAACATTTATAAAATTCTATGTATGAATATTTAAATATCTAAATGTGTCAAGTGTAAAAGACATTGTTAATGTAACTCTTTAGTTTTAAGTGATACTGAAAAAAAAAGATCAACTTTAGGGCATTTCTAATTATAAACTTGGCACCCTCGAGTGTTGTAACTCAAGCAACACTGAATATAAAATCTGTCATGCTTGCTTGTGGCAAATGCAAATTAGATGTAAACTGCTCCGAACTTGGCTTCTGCAGACGACAGAAATCTGGGTCATATTGTATACATGTTAAATTTCTCTTGCCCTACACAAGGCTCACAAGACTAGACTGAGAGATGAGAAAAAGGATCATATGACTCTTGCTGGTACACTACCACCACCCACAGCACTGCAGCATCATCAGGAAATATGCATATTGATTGCTGGTGTAAATCTGCCCAGAGTAACTGTATGGATAGGTGACCTTGTGAGGGATGCAGTAAGCACACCCTGTAGGAATGCACACTTGCACACTTCATGCATGAATGACTATAGAGTACGCGACACAGTCAGCCGCTCA